TTATTCATCACAGTCTACATAATTTTCAACATCAAGATTATCGAGTAAAAAAATTTCATCTTTGTTGATCAGTCTATACGTTTTCTATCAATTGCGCATGGTGGTGGCGCAGCAGAGGTAACGAATCAGTCATGAACTCTGGGATATCATCCGGGTACTCACGGGAGAAAAACAATAACAAAAGCAACAACCAGTCCACGGAAATTGCTCTGCATCAGTGGCCCTTTAAAGAAAGAAATTCGACCGCCAACTGATCAAATTCCTAAGCGCAAGTAATACAATAACACCCTTCTATAACTATACAAAACTCATCCCAATTATGAATTTATTGTTTCAGTGAATCGTTTTCAATGATTATCATGAAGGTCGTGGGTTCGATCCCTGACCGCGTCATACCAAAAGACGTTAAAATATGGTACTTGTTGGTCCCTGCCTGGCGCTCGGCATTAATGGGTACAACAAGGACTGGTCGGCTCGGAGTCAGTATACTGTGTCTGAGTGGGGTATTCATACTTCACTGTGGCATGGTATCTCGGTGGGCTAGCACTATAAAACCAGCTTCAGTCTGGGCTAGTACAAGCAGCCGCACATACACATACACACGCATGCACGTCGTCATATGAGTGAAATATTCTTATACGTTAAACCCAATTCCACCACCTCCACCACCATGATATCAAATGGTCTCGAAGAGCCCTCAGTCATTTTTTTAAATAAATGTGCAGGAGGACGTTTTTTAAAAGTGTCTCGAGGCGTACACGTTTTAGTTTATGAATATTTGACGACAAAAATTACCGAAATAACATATATTGTTACATAGTCCATATAACAATTTCTAAAAAGCATATTATTATATGATATGATGTTATAACTTTTCTTATTGGGATCTGATTAGAGTTGATCAGTTGAAAGGGTAAATCCCAGTGACGTGTTCTCACGGGGGCCAGTCTGACAGTGGACCCCTTCACTCTATTGCCAACCCGTGAAGACCCGGGTAAGAATCGGTCTTAAGCAAACCATGCTTGTCGTGATAGGCGACTAACGGGATCGGGTCAGGGTCGCTGACCCGGTTGACAGATGTCATCGTATCCCAATTGAGTAGATCAATGCTCATGCTGTTGATCACTGGACTGTTTGGTCCAGATTCGATTATTAACAGACCGCCGCCATATAGCTGGAATATTGCTGAGTGCAGTGTTAAGAAACACAACACAAACGATCTTGCCTGTAAAGTGATTTCGTTAGTGCCTTCTATAGACCATGACATTTTCCTGATTTCAAAGATTTTTACATTTTGGCGATACTATCACGAAAAGGCATGGTCAACTAAATGTGGGAGGAACGTATGGGATGCAGATCTGTGATGTAACTAGCTATTCCCAGAACGTAAGAGACTAAAAACAAAACTTTTCGACCCTGACGTTTTCCTATTTGGAATATTGTGGACTGTGCAAATCATATCTGCAGCTCATTAACTGATCATGAAACGTGTAACTTTTCGCAAACATCACTGTATGCCAGTCGATAAAATTGAAACATCTTGCATCACTGGCGAATTGTTCTTGGGTCCTCCAATGTGAGAACATTTCATTCTCGCGGGATTCCGTATTCTCAAAAAAGGTAACGTTACGTTCGCTTCAGTCAGTTATGGAAACTACGTGCAAATGATTCCGCAGACAGATTTAAATGAGGGATTAAGTGCAGTAATATGTTCACTATATTCAATTAGTAGGCATGACATGTAGACATGCATTGAGAGCAAGGATCAGTATTGGATCCATTTCTTTTTATTGTTTTCATAAATGACATTGCTGATGAACTAAATTGTTTGACAAGGCCGTTTGCTGATGATACATCACTTGGATATTCATCAACTGATCATAGACTGCTTGGGTCTACGTTAAACTCCAACCTACAGAAGCTGAGCTCTTGGGGAAAACTTTGGCTGGTTAAATTTAATCCAAATAAAACAGAAGCTGTCAGTTTTACCCTTAGAATCCAAAGTGATAACATACCTTTATACTTTGATAGATGTGAAATTAGTAATGTAAATGAACATAAACACTTAGGTCTAACGTTTTCGGCATATGGGAAAAGGAATAAGCATATTGGCCAAATAGTAATATCAAGTTCTAAGATGATAAACTCCATCAGTAAATTAAAATTCTTACTAAGCAGGCACATTTTGACTAAAATTTATATTATGTTGATCAGACCACATTTTGAATATGCCTGCGAGGTTTGGGATGGGTGTAATTCTGAACAGTCATTGAGACTAGAACAACTACAACTGGAAGCGGCCCGTACTGTTACTGGTTTACCAAAATATACACCACTTAAATATCTCCATTTTGAAACTGGTTGGGAAAAATTATCAGCACGTAGGGAAAGAAGAAAGTTAACATTGTATTATAAAATGTCAAACACTCATGTCAATCTTTTATCCCATCAACGACAGTATTATGGAATAATATCCCATTAGAAAAGCGAATGTTACTATTAACAAAGACGTTTAAATCATATTTGAAGAAACCTAGCTATTGTCATGGCACCATCATATTTTTCTACAGGTATCCGCAAACAAAATATTATTCATACTCGTTTAAGATATCATGTAAGTGAATTGAATTACGATTTATTTAATGTTGGCAATAGGTCAGATTCAAAATGTGAATGTGGGAATTAACGTGAAAATGTGTATCACTTCATGTTTGAGTGTTCTCTTTATCACGAACACAGAACGAAAATGTTTAACCTTTTAAAATTACATGATGATGCTTTAAAAATTTAGATTTATTCTTAAGTGGCAGCAAGAACTTATCATATACACAAATCATGCAATATTTAAAGCAGTTCAGCATTACATATTAAATAGCATGCGTTTTTCTTGAATGATGTAAATATTTTCATATGTGTAAATAACTATCTCTGTACATAGGTCTCTACCGTTTCTGTACTATATTTCTTTCTATATTACATGTATGTTGTTGTATATCTATCATGTTGTATGAAGTCGGGAGATGGTTACCTAAGTTGGATAACTTGTTCCTAATCCATTTCTTTACTGAATAAAATATGTTAAAATCAAATCATGCATAATTGCAATTCATGATTTATTTGTATTGGAGCAGATAACAAAAACAATAACTGGTAATTGAAATATAAAGCCATGCCATCATGTCGTTTAAGACAGCATGTTTGTGTCAAGGCTGGGCATCCACTGACAAGATGCCCAAAGCGGCGTTAAAGAGGTTAAATCCCTTTGTTTGTGTAGGAGCGCGTATTATGTTACGCAGTTATTTCCCTTTATCTTGATTCTAATCATACTTCCGCCATCACTTATGTATCATGAATAAACATGTCATCTATCCTGAGGTAAACCTAAGCAAGAGTTATCCCCCCTTATCAAATTTAATTTGGGTATGCTGTTTTAATTGGAGATAATGTTGATACCCTCTGGTAACATATTTTTTATATTCTTGAATATTAATCTAGTGTGAATTTACTATATAAAAATTCATTTTATAAAAAATTCTTGTTATTATAAAAATATTTTTTTCATTGATGAATCGATATTTTTTAAATTCATGTTTTTATAAGAATTAATTAATGTGTCAAATCCTACATACTGCCTTGAAAATTGATTTTCCTGCTTTATTTCATATCAATACTGAAATATCTTTATAAAACACACACTGAATAATAAAAGTAAACAATTTACTTTTAAGAGAATTTTTATTGACATATTACTTTTTACAGACGGTGCCACAAGGGGGCGCCACTTGTCAAACAAATGCCGTGGTGACTTGCTATTTTTATTACATAAATAAAATTTGGGACACATTTTTCTTCAAAATGATGCCAAATTTAGTAATTTCTTGACATTTTGATATTTTGTATCCATCCTCCTTAAAACTAATTCATATTCACTCGCACAACAACGCTGGTCAAAAACAAACACCTCGCCTTCTAGGCACCCGGTTGGTGACTTGTTCAGGAGATGCGTGTTTTTATTACATATAATTAAAAGTCTCTTTGGACACGATGTTTCACGCGGTTACCACATGAAAATAAAGCGTTATTAGAATCGATGTAAACTGTCAAATTGTTAGTAGCATTGAGTCATTTTTTTAAAACAATGACATTTTTAGATATTTTATTCTAGTATCCAACCTCCTTGTACCCAAAAAGCGGACCGATGAATTGTAATCTAACTCGAAAACTAATAAACATAACACACTCAATGAAACGCTGATCATAATCAAAACATCATACCCACTCTGTGAGGTTTTTGCAGAATTTTTGTCCTAAAAATAATAAAGTTGTTTAGCAAACTATCATTAAAATATTGACACAGTTCACTGTTTGTTACGAGGGAGGAGTGCAGAGAAAGGGACAGCCAGGTGTTCGGGAAGCACGTTCACAGACAAAGTTATTTATTCATTAACCTGTGCTGTGCCGTCTCCATCCGTTGTTTAACAAACGATCATAGATTAAAATGGATTTATTGGATTGTATTACAAGGGGGTAAGCGCAGTAGTTGGAACAGTGAATCAAATGCACGTGCAGAATGTGATGAGCGTTAACTTAGACCAACCCTACTCGTTCTCGGTGTTGTATTTAATGCGCATACCCCTTGAAATACAAACCAATAATAGCGATTTTAATCTATGATCGTTTGTTAAACAACTTTATCCTAAGTTGAATAAAATTCTGGGATTTAAATGTTCAGTTGGCAAGGCAAAATTATGATCTTAATTTCACGTTATTTGATTTACCCTTTTGTTTAAAGTGAAATTCATCGGTTACGTTTTCACTGCAAACGGACTATTGTGTCTCGTAGGCCAATTGGCCGGGTACTGTTTTTAATGTGTCATAATACGACTATAAAATTGTACCACAGCATGTGACACATTAATAAAATGATTTTCTTCTTCTTCTTCTTCTTCTTCTGCTTCTTCTTCCTATAAGTATGATCTTCGAAAGAATGATGACACCCTTCATAAGGAGTTTTGTCTTCTCCTTCTTCTTCTTCCTATAAGTATGATTTTCGAAAGAATGATGACACCCTTCATAAGGAGTCTTCTTCTTCTTCCTATAAGTATGATCTTCGAAAGAATGATGACACCCTTCATAAGGAGTTTTGTCTTCTCCTTCTTCTTCTTCCTATAAGTATGATCTTCGAAAGAATGATGACACCCTTCATAAGGAGTTTTGTTTTCTTCTTCTTCTTCTTCTTCTTCTTCTTCTTCTTCCTATAAGTATGATCTTCCAAAGAATGATGACACCCTTCATAAGGAGTTTTGTTTGTTTGTTGTTTAACACCGCAATCGGCAATATTCCAGCTACATTGCGGTGGTCTGTAAATAATCGAGTCTGGACCAGACAATCCAGTGATCAACAGCATGAACATCGATCTACGCAAATGGGATACGATGACATGGGTTAACCAAGTCAGCGAGCCTGACCACCCGATCACGTTAGTCGCCTCTTATTACAGTCTTCCTAAGGAGAACCCACTCCCTGTATAAGTCATCTGCTGCCTACTTGCGAGCATCCAGCACATCAAAAACGGTGAAGCGGCTGTAAAATCTCTCAATACGTTTGGAGACTGATTTCGCTGTATCAATTTCAATGTTCTATTGTGTGATCTAAATGCACATCTTCAATCTGTGAGAGATTGATAATTACCAACATGACTTTTTCAAACATCCACCTGCATAATAAAGGCTTTCCGTTAATCGTCCCGAATCTGCAGGCATTTAATGACGTCAAATCCACTGGACACATACATGAACTAGACTTCCCATGCGATAGACCGAACTGGCTAAGGTTTATACACGAGGTGTAATTCGCGTAAGCGCGAGCGATTCGGACGAGTACTTCGAGCTTTTTTCAAACTAGGCAAAAGTGGATTGCGACCTGTTTTTCCCCCAACCTCAAATCGTTAGTACCGAACGCATCAACTCAATACTTAACGGAAAGTCCCATCCAACATCCACAGTCATCATAATGTTTAACTCCAAAACACCTCAAACTCACAGATACCATCTGTTTTGGCACTTCCAAAAAACTAGAAGTAAAGCCATGTACTCTATACCCTGGTTCTAATGCTACCGTTTGTCCAGGAGAAAATATGGCATTATATCTAGGGTGGCATTATAACCAGGTAGAATCTCAACAGGATGCTTGGTGGTACGGCACTGTCTATGCAATCAACAAGGTGATTGTGCTGATGTCTCCTGTAATGAGCCTTAAATGACTGGTAATCCCAGCGTCTTGAGGCTGCAGGTGTGTTGTCGTTGTGTGTGCAGGAAGTGTATTGTATTAAACCTGTAAAACAATGCTCCAAATGTCTAAAATATCATCACACTGTCACATACTGTAAAGCACCGGTAAGTAAATGCAAAACGGGGTAATCCCGTTAGTTCGACCTTTGGGTCGAGGTAAAAATCCTTTGATGTTTGATGTTGTGACAACGGTGTTGGTTTAGGGATTAAGACAGTGGTTTTCTACAATGTGTTCACTCGGGGAACGAAATACGAATATGTGTACCAGCGGGTTGACATGTGGACTTACGGGGCCTAACCTGCAAAACATGCACAGCCTAACTGGTGCATACACTGCACAGTAACATCCCAAACCTCTCTTGCAAACAACTGTCCACACAGACACACAGACATGCAAGCAAATAGGCACATAAAAAACACTGACACAGCTTAAATCCAGACAAAAAAAACAGGCACTGCAAACAAACAAAACACCATATACCAAGCTTTAAACAAATAACATTGCACAAGCAAACATCCCAAAACAGGACTACCAATAGAAGAGTTAGCATGTCCCATGTGTCAGAATGGAGTGGTCAGTGAACATCATGTATATTTACACTGCCCTTTTTATGATGATCTTAGAAGAACTCTTTTTATAGAAGCAGAGTATGTTAACAACGGTTTTAATCTTTTACCAGAAGTTCTCAGTGCTTTTTAACCTTAAAGAGTGCCAAAACCTGTTATAATATTCTCCGTACACGTAGATGGTTTTTGTTTAAATAGTTTTTACATATTTTACACGTTTGTACTCCTTTGAAAGTGGTTTTATGCTGCATTTCAGTCTCGCATAATTCCTATGGAATGGTTTGTACAGTCTTTATCGCATTTTTATTCCTTTCTATTGTATATTTTGTATGTACGAGGTGAGACACTAATCAATTATCTGTCTGTCTGTCTGTCCCTAAAACAAAAGCCCATCCATGTCCACACGACACAATCCAAACCACCAATATCAAGGAGATCTCTGGCCACCGAACTCTCCAGCACCACCAACACGGCACCCTCACCACTAACACGCAAGACAGCTCCTAACAAACAACCTAAACGTAGTCCAAAACACAACACGAATACACTGCAAACACCCCTTTGTCGCTGGATGTCATCGTAGACCTGTGCTCAACAGCAGGAACATTGATCTACGCAATTGGGATACGATGGCATGTGTCAACCAAGTCAGCGAGCCTGGCCACCCTACCCCGTTTGTCGCCTCTTATGACAAGCATGGGTTACTGAAGATCAATTCTAACCCGGATCTTCACGGATCGCGCCTTAACGAGGGACTTTGCTCGTTAGCTATCATTGTCTGAGACGACTACAGATTCAAGTAGCGTTGCATTAGCAACACTGTGGCATCTACGTTTCGGGGCTGCTCCGAGTGTGGGTTTCAGGCAAGATGATCCCATGTTTCAACCCGTTTAAAAAAAACATTGAACGATCAGAGCATGTGGCAGATACAAAAGTACCTATTGAAGACAATCGTTTTTCGGTGACCTTGATATGATTGTGGTAATATGAGCATTCATCCTTGTCCGTCTTACAGACCCTGAGACAAATATACCCAACACAGTCCATGCAAGTCTATGGTAATTGGCAAGTTTAGATTACCACAGTTTCAGGATGTGGGGGAAATATTAAGTAGTTTTGATGTCTTCGTTTGGGTTTTAGAGGGAACCAGTTATCCAGCCATGCTATCTCAAGAGATGCTGCTCTGAGCTGATATCCCTATGCTATGTTGGTGATACTTCTTTTTTTCTCCCCAAGATTACAATGTCATATCTACAAAAGTGAGGTACATACAGATAGATGATATCTGGGTATTATGTCAAATACCATGTTAATACCCATATATAATTCAGCAAGAAAGAAATATGATATCTGGTACATATGGATACATTATTTTTGCTTTTGCATATATGGTTTTCCACAAAGAATATTACTTTCAGAGTTTCATGTTTGGATGTAAAATATGTTGGGAGAAATATTAAGTAGTTTTGGTGTCCTCGTTGGGGTTTTAGTCGTCCAGTCATGGAAACCCAGGCTAATCTCAACAGAGGCTGCTCTGAGCTGATATCCCTATGCTCTGTTGGGGATTCTTGATACTTACTGTCCCTGAGCTGCCCACACCACTGACAGTGGGAAGCAGTGTGTGTGTGTGTGTGTGTGTGTGTGTGTGTGTGTGTGTGTGTGTGTGTGTGTGTGTGTGTGTGTGTGTGTGTGTGTGTGTGTGTGTGTGTGTAGGGTAGGGGGTAGGGTAGGTGTGTGTGTGTGACAATAGATATTCCTGTCACACACACTTTCAGCAGCGTGTCAGTAATGGTGATACATATCTTTGCACGTGTTGTGAAATTCAAAGGAATTATCGCTCTGCAGATTTATTTAGTCTCTGAAAATGAAGAAAGTCCCTGGGCTCCTTTTCTTTTATTGTATTTCATTTTAATTGAAATTTTTTTTTTCTGTAAAATATTTTCATTTCAGAGGTGAGGTGAGGTGAAATTGCGTTTAACGTCGTGCTTGAGAATATTTCGCTCATATGACGACGTGCATGCGTGTATGTGTATGTATGTGGGCTGCTTGTACTAGCCCAGACTTAAGCTGGTTTTATAGTGCTAGCCCACTGAGATACCATGCCGCAGTGAAGCATGAATACCCCACTCAGACACATTATACTGACTGCGAGCCGACCAGTCCTTGTTGTACCCATTAATGCCGAGCGCCAGGCAGGGACCAACAAGTACCATATTTTAACGTCTTTTGGTATGACGCGGTCGGGGATCGAACCCGCGACCTTCGCTCTCCGGGCGGACATTCATTTCAGAGACTAGCTGTTAGTCTACATTCACACCTAAACTAACTGCAGATGTTACTGTTGTCAAATGAAACATCCATGTGAAACTATAGGAAGCAGGCATATAATCTAGGAACAGGTCTATTTTCTATACTTGAATGCCAAGTGCAGTGTTTGCAATATTGAAAAGCCATCGTCTCCGCGTCTGCCTGTATGCAATGCAGTCACATCTAATCTTTTCAAACATTGTTGAAATGGTCCCCTTGAGCAAGTTATTATAGAATCTCACGCTAATTTGACTGCATACTGTGACGTGATGTAAGAGTTTCTCAAATAGCATCTTTAATTTCACTTTTTCAGTAATCTAGATGACTTTTTTATTGCATTTTGCAAATGATATATTGACTGGTTGTATGCGTAGCAGAATTATTTTGGAAAGGTGAACATGTTACAAGAGAAAGATTAACGATATGCATGTACATATGTCTTCTCGTACTGCGACATTGGTCACCATTTTTGACAGATAAAGCACAGTCCGTGGGAATATTTGCAAACTTCCAACTAATCAGAAGCCAATCTTAAAAAAATAGGCGATAGAGTTTGTTTGTTTGATGTTTAAAGCCGCACTCGGCAATATTCCAGCTATATGGCGGCGGTCTGTAAATAATCGAGTTTGGAGCAGACAATCCAGTGATCAACAGCACGAGCATCGATCTACGCAACTGGGAACCGATGACATGTGTCAACCAACTCAGCGAGCCTGACCACCCGATTCTGAGCCTGACTACCTGCTTATTAACTGTACAACGTAAACGGGATAAAATAGTCTTGATTCCATCAGGCCCTGAACACTGTGTGAATGAGTCACGGAAATCAGTCATGGCACAAACGTACATTTGTAGAAACGTGGTGAGTTACTTATCATCGGTTACATTTCCTGTGTCCAGACCAGACAATCCAGTGATCAACAGCATGACGATCGATCTACGCAATTGGTATACGATGACATGCCAGTGAGCCTGACCATCCGATCCCGTTAATCGCCTTTTACGACAAGCTTTGGTTGCAGAAGACCAATTTTATCCCGGATCTTCACAGGTTTCATAATTAATGTGGAGATGGTAAATGAAATCAATTAGTTGAGCTATGGTCGTTCTGTGTGTTGTTAAAACTTTTTAACTGGGGAACTTTCCGCGTTTACACCACTTGGGTATGTTATAGGGTGTCACGATACACCAACCTCACGATACGATACGTATCACGATTTTAAGGTCACGATACGATACGTATCGCGATACATAATTTTCACGCCATTTTGCGGAAGGCTGCTAAAAGAGGGATATAAATCTGAGATACTTCACTAATAAATTCTTGTAACAAGCAAAACTAACAACTCAAGTCACAAGGTTCCCTTTGATATGCCCAACTTGACAGGTATTCTTGTCATCATTATCATCATGATTCATGATAAAATAAAATGTATCAATATTATCAGTGTAAATTTGGTAACTGTGGAAATAACACTTCCAGTTGTCTCCAGTTTCAAATTAAAAAAAAAAAATGATCTGTACCAGCAACTGGCAGCAAGACTGTTAAGTATAAACTTTGAATAAGTCACAAGTAATATCACTGATCTTATACTGTGTCACAAAACACATAAAATGAAAAATAATACTTCCCAGTACTAAGCAATCAGCTTAGTGTCAATTGACTCAATGGAAAACAGTTGTTAAATAATAAATATGCTTTATGTTCATGACAATTTACATGAACCAACTTAACTTTAAAAATTAAAAAGTAGTATAACCACCATCTCCAAATGTTTCTGTTTTGGTATTCTTCATCTATTTTCCTATGTCACATCACAGCAAGTATAGAATAAATGCACTGAATATATTGCCCCAGCAAGTCAGTCAAGTCACAATTGTCACAAGTGACAAATGATAAACGGTTATCACAGCAGATAAATAAACTAATAAAAAATAATCATCATTAGTATTTAATGATGAAACATTCAGCCTTAAGCCAGGCCTCCAGTGTCAGATTTGACAAAATCAACCAACAGTTATTTGAATTTTGTACTGCAACAGTTAACAGGATCATAATTCACAACACATTGTAATCATTCATCACATTGATCACTTCACTTCCTGAGGTTTTCTTCAGGAAAATCAACATGTTGACGTTTTCAGGCCTCAGTGTAGCTCTCTGAGCTGTGACTATATCGCCTGCTGTTGAAAATACACGCTCACTTGGAACAGATGTTCCTGGCACACACAAAATGCATCTTGCTAATTTGGACAGCAAAGGAAATTTCTGTTCATTTTCCTGCCACCACTGTAATGGGTCTGAATTGAGGGGAATACAATCCTCAGCCTTGTAGGTGCTGACCTCTTCCTCTACCCTGGCATATGAGGACTTAGCTGTCTGCACATGAGTGACAAAGACATCACCGAATAGGTCATCCATTGCAGAGGTGTTTTCTTCCTTCACATCTGGTGTCACACTTTGTTTCGGATCACTGGCCTCAGGAAGTTGGGGCAGACCATCCTCTGGTTCCATGGACCCACTGGCTTCATCATTTTCAGTTTCACCTCCACCTACAAAATAAAAGTTCCACACCACTAGACTGTAGCTTTATCATTTATCATTATACTTCACATTTGACAACCCAAATTAACTTTTTGCTAACTTGTTGAAATCTTCAGATTCGAGGATTTGAGGTTGTCAGGTTCACTTTTCTTCTGGTGATGTTGATTTTGAGAAAATCTATAATATATGCATTTCAACAAATTAGATTTTATAAGAATGGCAATAAAGCAAAAAAACATGTTTCTTGGAATGATGATTTAATATTTATATTGTTTAAATTGTAAGTTACATTACCTTGCCAGAATCAGAATCAGCCAGAGCTGCAGTCTTTGCAATAATGGCACCAAATACAGCAAGTCGTCTGGCATCATCAACATGAGGCAGAGAACGGAACCTTGGATCCATAGCTGACGCTTGAAGCAGCAGATCTTGCCCATCAATGTATCGCTTGGATATATCTTCTGATATTGCAGTCTTGACACTGCGTATGAAAGCTGAGTCAGTCTCTGCTGCTTGTGTCATGTTGAGGATTTTCTCCTTCAGTGGGAATATCAGGGATATAGTTGGGTGTTTCTCATCACACAGGATAGTGGTAATAGTTTTCATGGGCTTGAGGATTCCCACAAGGTCTTCAGCATTGCATAGCTCAGTGTCTGACAAACCAAGATCCTTTTCAGTCTTTCGGACCTGTTTTGACATCAGGACAGCAAGGATAGCAGGTTGTTGTTCAATGAACCTATCAATCATATCAAAACTGCTGTTCCACCTCGTGCAGACATCTTGGATCAACTTATGCTCTGGCAGTTGCAACATTTTTTGTTTTTCTCTCAGCAGGGCAGTGGCAGTAGAACTACGGTGGAAGAAACCGACAATTCGCCTGACTTTTTACAGAACTCTACACACTGTGTCGACTTTGAGACCTTTTGGGATGCAAGATTGATTGTGTGAGCAAAACATTTCACATGTTTTACCCCGGCCTCTTTTACAGCGACTGTCATGTTGGCAGCATTATCTGTTACACAAACAACAGGTTCAGATCTCTCCAGTTTCCATTCCTTTACTGCATCAGACAGAATCTCTCAACATTGGCTCCAGTGTGAGATTCATAAATGGCATTGGTTTGCAGAACATTGTTGACTAACTTCCAGTCACCTGAAAATGTAGTGACATGTGACAGTTATGTAGCTCTCTGTGGCCCTTGACGTCCACCCATCTGTTGTTTTAGCAACAGCTGTTGCTTTTCTCAGACCATTCTCCACTTCCATCTTGCATTCCTTGTACAGTTCAGGAACAACCTTTCCAGTAAAATATGTCCTCCCTGGCACATTGTATTTTGGTTCTAGAACTCTTAACAGTTCAACGAAAGAATCATTCTCCACTGTTGAAAATGGTCTCAGATCTCTGGCAATAAACATCGCAATTTGTCGTGTGATGAGCTTGTGACGTTCGGAATTGAAAGCATAATGTGAAAAGGAGCCCAAAGTCCTCTGTTCAAAGTGTTCTCTTGAGTGGTTTTCTTTCAGAATCAATCTTGACAGTCGGGTGATGTCTAGTGAGGTGGACTTGCATGTTTGTCGTATTCCCACTATATCCAACCAATGTCTTGCAAATATGACACATTGTCTTTTCTCGACTCACTTTTCGTTGGCCATCCTCATAATAGACTGGGAAACAGAAATGTTTCCACACGTGAGACTTGAATTTACTCCCAGTGGGAGTCTCGAAATCTCTTGTTGAGAAATCCATGCACTCACTTCAGTTTTGTCACTCCCGCACCACAGCATTACCTTACCGGCAACATACGCGCTCGCTGATTGGTCCATCAGAATAATCTAGCCAATCACAAAAGCTGTTAGTTTCCAACCTATTTTTAAGTAAAGCTAGCTACATGTATTTATCGGAGCAGTCTCGTATAATTTTACTATCAAGACATTGAAAGAGATGGATATAGCATAAAAATTGAATCGATAAAGTTTTTGAAATAGGAATCGATACACGCAAGCATGTATCGCGTATCGTATCGTCAGTAAGAATGTATCGATACATCGATACAATCGCGTATCGCGACACTCTAGTATGTTATGTCCATTGTTCTGGCAGGTTGATTTTCTGTGTATCAACCTTCTATCTGCACCTGCAGAGGTTGATATGTGGATAACAACCGGGTATGTTATTTGGCAGCTGGACTCTCTAACCTAGGGTAGATACGTCAGACCTCGGCTTCGCCTCGGTCATTGTCTTATCTCCCCACGGAATTTTGGACATCCGTAATTTGCAAATATTGTTTCTCGGCTTCGCCTCGAAACAATATTTTAAAATTACCTCTATGAAAGTGTCGAAAGGGTGTGAATACGGCGATACCGTCCAGGTGCCAATCTAAAATAATAACAAGAACAAGAATGTTTAGATTTATTTCATTGTGAAATTTACAACGCAGTTTTCGATATTTTCCAAAAGGGTAACCGGTTTTCGTCCATTTATCCCGCCGCTTGGTTTTAGTAGGCACAGCATCCAACGCACGTTTCTCAATTTCACCATCATTAGCTTCATAAAAACGAACAGCAGTTTTACGTTCTTCTTGTACTTCTTTTTCAATAATTTGAGATGCTTCAGACAATTTAGAATCGCTATCGTTATCGATAAGGCTTGCCTCCGCTTCTTGCGAGGCCCGACAAAGCTCTTCGTCTGAATTCATTTCTCTTCCCAAAACCACATGTACACATAATCTTGGCGGTGCAGGAAACGCACGTGCAACAAGCAATGGACGAGTCCATTCGGCGTCCACGTGGTGTAAGTAGGTTAGCAGCCCCCCTCGAGCGTTGAAATCCATATCACCCTTGAGGAGGGTGCTAACGTATACGTGTCATAGGATGTAGGGGTAGCGGTATGTTCCCGCGTTGGGTTTATCACCACGAGTCGGATTGCAGAAAACCGACAGGGCACGCACAACACCGAGTACACCTTGTGATAATGCTACAACTAATTTATTTTGTCGACAGGTTTCGATTTGCCAGGAATTTAAACAAATTGGAAATTGATAGAACAAATTGCTGTTTGATTGCGTCATGTGAGATTAATGTATTTTCTAACATCTTTCAGTATTTCGTTTCGTAGGATGACGTAACAGTTTTAATGTTTCTGCTTAAAAAAATCCACGCGCAGGCTGTTTTCTTCATGGCGGTACATAAGAGATTTATTCTCCTAATCAGAAATCCACGTGCAGTCGGTATTCTTCGTGGCGGTACATAAGAGGTTTATTCCCCGGATTTCTTCGTGGAGGGGCATAAAATATCATTTTTCCTGCCGAGAGATCCACGTGCTGTCTGCTTTCGTCGTGCCGGCGTGTTTTTTTCTCATACTCAGATATATACTTCCCTTCCAGGCATAAAACAAATATTTTATCAAGATTATGTGAACCAGTCAGATTTCAGCATTATGACATGAAGGTAAGATTAGTATTGTTTTGATATGACAACTTAATGTTTACATATCAACAAATGAGATAAAACCCTTTCCGAAATGAGTCGAGTTTGACTATTCCCATGAACAAAGCAAATAGTGACAGCACCAGGTGTTCAAGAAAAGGTGCGCGTACACTGCCCTACCGATGGCATCCGTCACAAACTCATGCAAAGGTTATTTTCAGCTTGGTCACCTCGGAACACGTGCTGCAAGTCATATTTAGGAATTTCATCTGGTATCCTTTTTGTTAACCACATGTCTATCATAAGGTTCATAAAGCCCTTTGAAAGTTGTTTTTCAAATTAAATCTTAGAAGAAAGAACATACAACATTAATTCTACGTCAAAGTTTGTGAAATATTGACTTCAAATTGTTCGACAGATGGGGAAAGCTGGCTTTTCCAGAGTGATCAGAGTGATCGTTCTTGTCATACTCTCGTTTGGCTATTTTGGGCTTTCCTGAGTCTTTATTAGGGCTGCGCAATATAACCGGTTTACCGGTATTTACCGGTTCAGACATGAAAACGATACGTATTGCGATACGCTGATCGAAAACCGGTATTTTGACTTGCATTCGGAAAACTTCGTACCACTCGGAAATCTTCGAATATGTCCTTGTTTCATTTGTGCCAAATATTATTCACATTTTCATTTTATCATGATTAAAAGTTGTTATTCAAGCTTAATCAAGCCTAGTGATTTTGTTGTGTTTTTGCTCTATAAATCAAAAATTAACTCGATTATAAGTAGTTTTTTGCTTAAAAATACTTCATACAATATATTGCAATACATATCGCAATACATGCTTTCGCATCGCAATATATCGCAATATGAAAATTCTCTGCAATACCTACTCCTAGTCTTTATACACATATGTATGTCTAAATTTGTTACAGTTGATAGTGCTTCACTGGTGTGTGTTATTTCCAGTTCAGTAGATATACCAGTGGAAAGGAGTTTGTTATTTCATTATTCATGTTACACAATTGGATTATCGATATTCCTGACGCTAAAATTGAACATAGTGGCAAAATTCCCTCTATCTGCTTTTGCCAAAAGTTTTTGATGTACGGCACAGGGTGTTATAATCTATCAAGCTTGCTAGATATGCTAACGGACTGTGCATAGCATAAAATTGCATCAAATAATAGTTATTTGAAAAGTTATAGAAATAGCCATCAATAAACATGTAGTAAAGCACTTTGCATGAAATTTGATGTCACGTATCGCACGTGCACTTTGTGCGCTATGAACTTACTTTTTTTGCATATTGAAAAACGGTTGATAATTCTCTCGCCACTGAATGTTGTGAAAAACCTAACTGCGCAATCACATGTGTACCACTCAAAAAAAAAGAGCATCGGACGATGTGAAGAACGGGACTTTCTTTAACAGTTCACTTCTTTGAGTGATACATAGTCCCAAGCCGCACATGGTGTGACGTAGGACACAAATTCCAATTCGTGTAACGTTTTGCTTGTTACACAGAGCATGCAAAATTCTCTGTATTTCCTATATCAACACATGCTTTTCACGAAATTGTGTACACGGTAAGACGATGAATGGGAATATCAAAATAATTTTTATAGGTGGAAAATACAGCTCACAATTGTCAGTTTTTGCTGTAATTTTGGGAGAACGGTTTACTGTTTAACGCCGCACTCAACAATATTCCAGCTATATGGCGGCGGTCTGTAAATACTCGAGTCCCGTCAATCGCCTCTTACGACAAGCATTGATGACTGAAAACCAAGACCAATTCTAACCCGGATCCTCACGGGTCTTTGGGAGAAAGTTTGCTGATACAGAACGAGAATTTCTTTGACTACGCACTAGAACAAAGTCAAGTTTTATTGCTTGCACGATGCGTCAGTCATGGCGTACATCTAGGTGTGATTTCCCCAGAGGAAAAGATTAAAATATTAAATAGTTGTCAGCTGCCAATCTTGCTGAATATCAGGCTGTTCAGCACATTTCATATCGCGACATCTGGTAGGTCAGTCACGTCATCATCAGATTCCTCCCTGTGAAGAAGATGTCAAGTCGGCCGTATGTCACCTTGAGGAAACCTCTGATCAGATGTGAATTGCGCAACACGCTTTGCACACACTGAACTTAACACAACATCTTGCAAATGTATATGGATGTGGATGTGAAACATGACACCTTTGCTGTATGTTTTGTTTTATATTTTTTTGTTGGACATCAAAATCAAATTCTTTTGCTCTTCTCTAAGTCAACGACATGTATGTATATATTTAACTATTCCCCTTTTAGTAAAATCATGAATCACGATATGTGCCAACTGTTGGCAGCGTATTAACTTAAAAGTTGTCGAAATATGTACGCAGTGAGCACTAAATACTATCAGCAGATATCCTTCTTGTATGATTATTGCCTTTAATTTCTACATACGTATGTTTGTGTGTTTAGAATTATCTGTAGTAGGACAAATGTAATAT